GCAGACACCGAGACACACAGACACGCACAGAGACAGGTATGCAGACACCGAGACGCACAGACACGCACAGAGACAGGTGTGCAGACACCAAGACACACAGAACAGACACACACAGAGACAGGTGCGCAGACACCGAGACACACAGACACGCACAGAGACAGGTGGGCAGACACCGAGACACACAGACACAGACACACACAGAGACAGGTGTGCAGACACCGAGGCACACAGACACACAGACATGCTCAGAAAACAGTGAAGGACACACTGGCCTGAAGTTTAGAGGCAGAGACCTGGGGCCCTTCAGCATAGCAGGGACAACTTGGACAGGCTGCAGGAGTGTGTGAATGCGCACATGTGTCACACGCATTAGCCCATGGTGGGGAGTATGTGCAGAGAGGGGTGCCAGCAGAGATTTCAGTGATGAGTGCGGAGGACACAAGACTGGGTGGACACAGGCCTGGAGGTGCCGCTGCAAGGTCAACTGTGGATTCACAGAGGAGCCTTAGCAGATGCCCAAAGGACAGGCCCAGGCTCAGATCCTGGCGGTGCTGAGCACATGACAAGTGACTTGGGACAAAGTACTCAGGCTTTCTAATACAGGTGTCCTCTTCTGGAAAATGTGGATACAAAAAGAGCTTCCCACATAGGACTGCCAAGGAGCTGGCCCAGGGAGGGGCCCCAGGGACACTGTTGTGAGGCTGTGGGAAGAGTGAAGGGCAAAGCCAGGCTCCCAGGTTCTGGCAGCAGCAGACCGGGGAAGGGAGACTGAAGGGTGAAGGCTGGGGTAGGAGATACCTGCCTTCTCTGACAGCTCCGTCTTAGCCAGAAGCTGCAGAGGGCAGGGGATGCCTCTAAGTTCCTGCTGACCTGAATTTCCCTAGGTAGAAGGAAGAGCCCACCACACTCCAGAGGAGTGACCTGGCTCCACGGAGCATGATGGAGGGGTCTGCCGCCTGCCCTCTCTCCCAGCTTCCAGGGGCTCCTGGCAGGCCCCGACCTCTGACTTCCCACCTCAGCCTTCCAGCCCACTCTGTCTTCTTTGAACTCTAATGTGTGATCACCAAGGGATAGGGAAATGCTAGGAAGTCACAGGTCTGGGAGTCAAGGCCACTAAGCAGCTCTGGCTCCTTGTCACCCTCATAAGACAGGGCATGGCCGAGGCAGAGCAGAGCACAGAGGCCACGCAAGGTCGCAAGGTGCCACAGAACTCAATCTGAGGCACGGAGCTTGGAGGCAGACAGCCTGCAGCCTTGGGACAAGCCACTTGTATTGCCGAGCCCCGGATCCGCATGTGGGCCATGGGCATGAGCTGAGCACAGCTCACGGCTGTGAGGAGCCCCAGGGTCAGGCATGAGAGGCACTCAGCTCAGCACCTGGCACCTGCCGCGCCTCAGGAAATGCAGCTGGTCTCTCTGTGCCCACTGGGTCTCTGCTGTCTCCCCGGCCCCTGCCTCTAGTACATATCCCAGCCCCATGCCTCTGCATCTTCCAGATCCGGTGACCAGGGTGGCGCACCTCCTGCTTACCTCATTCAAGCTGGAAATGAGACCCGAGGAAGAACTGGAGAGCCCAAAGCGCTTCTCGATGGTGGTGAGGCTGCTCTTGAAGCAGGCGCTGTACAGGAGCTGGCAGAGCTGCAGGATGCCTTGGCAGAGCACGAACACCTAGGGATACGGACGGCCGTGAGGCTCCGGACAGCAAGCCCTGGGCCCCAAGCCTTCCAGCCCAAGCCCTCCTTGGCAAGATGGCCAGCAGCCCAGCCCAGGAGCACTTATGTCATAGTCCTGCAGGTGAAATGCCATCACTGCCGTACTGTGCTCTCCCCATTACTGCACTGTTGTCCCTGTCACCATGAGTGGCCCTTACAGCCACAGATGACCCAACAGGGCTGGAAAATCATCTGAGGAAACAG